TTCCCCAGCTGATGTGCGCACCCACCTAGACGTTCCCCAGCTGATGTGCGCACCCACCTAGACGTTCCCCAGCTGATACTGGCACCCACTAGATGTTCCGCTCTGACCATTTTCTGTCCTCACTACAGCCCAGTTTTTTGTATTGAATCATGCGAAAATAAGTTTTCAGTGGAAGGAACATATCTTAACTATTCTTCTTCCCTGGATCCTCTCACGGTGCCTGGTACATTGCAGAGGCTTATTGAACGTTAGAAGAGTAAGTAAATGACACACCACAAGCAAACTGACCCTCTCATATTCACGCCCACTGCCCGTGTTTCCATACTGAACCTCTATTGCTGCAGCCTCTCGTAGACCAATCGCCACACATACGCTCACCTATGAATACACGCTCCCATGTGCCAATGCTCATATGTGCGTATATTCATGTGTACACATACATACATGTGGAGTGCTTTAAATTACATCAATGCGTTTCATCCACTGATTTTATGTCCTACTTAAAGACTTGCAAGCCAAATGGAACCGCTCTCTGAGTATCCAGCAAGTAGAAGGGAGTTTCCCATCCTTTGCTCAGAAATGAGGACTGAAGGCATTAATCTAGAGAGTTGGCAGGCAGTGCTGGAATGGTGAGAACCCCGACGCTGTTCCAGGCCGCGATGAGCACGGCCCGCGCTTAGGCGTGGCCACACAATTAGCAGCAATAACGAAGTGGACTTGGAAATGCACCACCCAGACCCTCCTGCTCAGAAAAATTTGTTGCCTCGGCTGATGGCAACACTGCCAGCGCCTCAGGCCAAGCGTGCTCATGGGACTGAGAAGGCCCAGCCTTGTGCGCCCGGGGCTGGGCAGAGCTCCCAGGGGCCTTAGCGAGGCCTGAGGCCGACCTCCCGTCTCATCTTCCCTCTGTGCCCTAGCCCGCTTCCTTCCCCTGCTTTGTACAGGAGCACTTCTTAAAAACATCCTGAATACTCCATTATGTGCTGCTTCCCAGGGGACTCGGACGGTGCCAAATAGCAACCTTCGGCCTGTGCACAGAGCTCTAGGTTCGCACAGTGATTCCCCTCTCCATTATGTCACAAGTTCCTGGCAATGTCCCCCTCTTCCTGTGGGAGGGACAGCTGTTACTGCTCCTGTCACTGATGAGGAAACTAGAGTGTGAGAGGTTACAGCTTGCTCAGGGTCGCAGAGCAAGAAAGGCACAAAAGCTGGATTAGAACCCAACTATTTCGGATTAGAATCCTCTGCTCTTCAGGCACTCAGGCTGCTGATGGCTTGCTGCACATGCGAAGTGGCAGAGCAGCCCCCTCTTGCTCAGGCTTCCGTCTGAGCCCCTTGTGCGTGTGGTGGTTTCAGACACCCAGCATTGGTCCTCGCCTCCTCCTTGGTCCGTTCTCTCCTCCAACTCCCGCAGCTGGAAGATAAGGCCAGGAAGAGGAAGGGACTAACAGTCGTCTCGGGACCCCACCCAGAAGTCCGTGAGGTGCATTCCCAGTCGGGGCAGTTAGACAGCCCAAGAGGCGTTTCCGGTCTAGAAGAGCAACTGAAGACCCGGCCCACGGTGGGCTGATCACCTTTACTTTCAAATGCAAAGTAAGAAGAAATGAAGCATTAAGCCCCCTCGTGGAGCTCAAAAAATAGCACAGTTGAAGTGGACTTGCAGTGACGAGGAGGGGGAGGGAGAGAAAAAGCAAAGTGGTAAACAAAAGGGAAAACCAACTGAATGAGCTGAGCCCCAGACCATCCGGCAGGACCTGGGCGCGGATTTCAGAATGGGTTGGGATCCTCGTGCCACGGAGAGCGAGACTGGAGCCCTGTGCCCACTCTGTACACCATCCTGGCCTCACATGCCCTGGAGACCCAGGAAAGCTAGAAACCGGAAGTCCTCCTCGGGAATTCCAGCGCGGAGCTCCCCGAGGTGGCGCGGGCGGGGCCCAGTGGTGCCGGAGGAGCTGCAGCGCAGGGTTAGAACCGACTCCTGGCTGTCCCCCACCCTCACCACCCGGACACCTGAAAATCACTGACGCCCCGCACCCCAGGCCAGCTTCAGAAGCCACACCCGTGAGAAGAGAGGTCCCCAGGGTCTCTGGCTGTCTCCTTTGCCCCAGCACAGCGCAGACTCATAGGAAGTCCCGGCCAGGCCAGGCGGGTCCCTGGCGAGCGGCGCTGCCAGCGCACTGAGTCATCCCTGGCAGCCTCTTCAGGAATTTTGGAATAGGCGGAGGCTCAGGTGACCTCTGTTGTTTCAGCTGCAATCAGAGAAGCATCTCTAATCTGAGGGGAGGGAAAGGAGGCCTAGAAGGGGAAAAGCAGCAGGAGTCCTTACACTAGGGGACAGGGCCATTTCAACCTTGGGAGAAACTGCCTGCGAGGGGCCACGTCTGGGTCACTGCTGGCCTGAGAGCTGGGGCTGCCCGGGCTGCCCGGGCTGCCGGCCTCCGGGTGCAAAGTGACCGCATGGTGTGACTGGGGACAGGGAAAGCAGCCGCTCACCAGCTCCAGAGCGGCCTCCACCCCTCCAGCCTTCCCTGGACCTGCACTTCCCTCAGACCTCCCACTCCCAGGAGCAGACAGCTTGTGAGGGTGCCTTGTGCTGTCAGCACAGCGCAGCCCTCGCGTTTAAAAGCTTTACTTATCCCTGGCCAGCCTTGTGGGCCCGCCCGGGCGCACTGAGACTGCGACTGAGACGGGGCGTGGCTTAGCGCTCCTGTAATCCCAGTGTTTGGGAGCCTGAGAACAGGTGGATCACTACAAATCCGATCTGTGTAGTGAGACCCTGTAGACCCTGTACAAAAAATAATAATAATAATAAATAAAATAAAATAAAAGCTTTAATTGATGAGCCACAGTGCCTAACACAGACATGGACTGGAACAAGCCTGTATGTGAATTCTGACACCTCTGCTTAGTTTTATCCAAGTGCCTTCAGTTTTCAGATTATCCTTTTCCTTATCTGCAAAAAGGGACTTAACAGTACAAACAGCCACGAGCAACAATCAACCAGTACCACCGGAGTGCCCGAATGCTTTTCCAAGGCCATCCACCATCTATTCTGGTTTG